TGTGTGTGTGTGTGTGTGTGTGTGTGTGTGTGTGTGTGTACATGTGCTGGTCTTCTGTGACTCTGTGCCCCTTGGCATGTCTGTGGATATGTGCTGTGTGCATGGAGCATGGTTTTGTGCCTGTGTGTGGGTGCACTGCTCACCCACATGTATCTGTGCTGTGGGCTGCATCTGTGTGCCTCTGTGGGAGCATCATTGGCCTCATGTGTCTGCATCTGTGTTAACTTCTCTGTGTGCCAGTGTTTACCTGTGTGTGTGTGTGTGTGTGTGTGTGTGTGTGTATGTGTGTGTGAGCCAGAGAGAGAGAGAGAGAGACTGAGAGAGAGAGAGAGAGTCTGCATGTCTGGTGGACACAGCTTTCTGAGGACTGGAGATAAGATTTAGTGCCGATGTGACTTTTACTTGCTCTTGATGACATGTCTCCTCTGGAACAAAGGGAAAGATGGAAGGTGGGAGAAGAGTGAGATGAAAAGGAGCAGGGAGCGTTTGGGAGCTGGACAGAGGGAGCAGAGATGCAGGGAGGGGACAAAGGGCTGAGTGAAGAAGTGGGACAGAAAGGATTAAAGGGAGGGGAACAAAGGAGAAGACCAGGGAGAGACTGGCTGGGCCAGAGGAGGAGAGGACAGGCCAGAGGGCTGTGGACAATGGGGAGAACCAGACAAGGACTGGAAGGGTGGTTAGGGTTTGGGGGCAGTGGGTGGCCATTTCTTTGGGCCCGCTGGTTTGGATGTGGCATTGTGTGTGGCTTTATGTCAGTGCTGTGTGGGGTGTGTATTGGGGGCTGTGGGTGTGTGTTCACACTCTGAAGTGTGACCCCTCTGTGTGTCTCTGCCATGTCTGTGTGCTCACTCACGCGTGTCCTGATCTTACCTCTGTAGCTCTCTCTCTCTTCTCACTGGGGATCCTCTCTGGGGTTTCGGTAAGAGAGTCAGAGGTGAGACTGGAAGAGGGGAGGTGGGTTGGCCAGGCAGTGGTTTCCAGGATGGGCTGGGCTCTACTCTGTAAGCTGTGACCTGCCTGAGGCCTAGTGTCCTCCAGGACCTGAGGCATCCTGCTCCCCTGCCTGGCTGAGCACCTCCTCTCTCTTCTTGACCTCTTGTAGCAGGTAGAGGAGACCCAGAAGCAGCCAGGTAGAGTGTTCTTGGAAGGGACCCGACAGTGCCATCTATCACTGCCAGCCTTTTCTTCAGCAGTGGGTGGAGGGGCTGATGCCACTGGTGGACGTGGGCAGGGGATCACCTTATTAGGGCTGGGAGCTAGCAGGAGGCAGCAGACTTCAAATGGGGGTGGGTAGGACAGGCTTTATGGAGGGTTTGGAGGGAACCCTCAGGCCAGATGGTGCTGAGCCAGGGGTAGACAGGAAGGGAACTGGCCTCCCCTCACCAAGATGGCTGGTACTGTCACGCCTGAGGGAGCTGAGCAGCTGGTTGCCGTGGTGACACAGAGAGAGTGCTGCATGCTAATGAGGCTGGCAGGAGCTGGGCAGCGGAAGGGTCTTTGAGGGGAGAGATGTGACTCCCCCCAGGAATAGTCAGACCTGAAGGGGACAGAGAGTGAGTTCACAGGCCCCCGGCTCCTGGACTGGGGTGGCAGAGGCTGGGATTGTCCCAAATGGGATCCCAGGACAAGGCTGCTCCTGACAGAGTGGGAGGAAGTTTCAGTGTCCCTGCCCTGCCTGGGTCCTGGGTTTGGGACTATGGAAGAAGGTGTTGGTAGTTCTTAGGAGAGTCACCAACAGAGTGGGGACATCCAGAGCAAGGAATAAGAACACAGTCCAAGTGCCAGGGTTTCCATCTGTGCTATAGATACAACCTCCATCCTCTGTGAGCGAGGGTCCTGAGGCTGCCCCTAGCAGCTGGAGCCTCCTCCCCCTGCTGGCCTCAGACACAGAGGTTGGGGGAAACAAATGAAGAGAGGCACCTGCACCATGCAGCCGCATCTTCCCCAGGATCTAAGCCTTTGACCCCACTATGCCCTTCCTGGTTTCTTTGCCCCCTTTCCTCCTGGACTCCAGGCATCTTGGCTCTCAGCTTTGCCCTAGAGACACTGTAACTTCTATGCTTCAGTTTTCTCTCCCTGGGGCCTGTATCCTATTGCCACAGCACTCGGAAGAGTTTCCCAAGGCAGCATTGGTACTGCAGGGCTGTCTCGGTCAGACTCTGGGTGGCAGGTCGGGGCTCTGGTTTGATGGGACTGGCTGGTCATCTCAGGGAGCCCTGGGCTCTCAGCCTGGCTGTGTGCCCTGGGCCCTAATACAGTGGGCTGGGTTTTTCCCAACTGAGACTGAGGAGGAGTGCCTTGGGTTCTGGCTGACTGGACTATTCCCAGTGGCCGAGGTAACCCTGGAAGGAAACCTCAGCTGATCTTGCTTTGTTTTCCATTTTCAAAAGTCAGCTTATGGATCATCTCAGAGAGGTCCTAGCCAGAAAACAGGAGTTTAAGAGCAAGGTGCTTTGAACTCTCAGAGCACTGGGCCTCCTTCCCAGGGATCTCGGTTGGCCCCTTTGGACTTTGCTGCCTCAGTTCCTCAGGCCTCCTTGTAGCAGAATCCACGCCTGTCTTTGTTCCAGTCTCCCTAGTAGACCAGCGGTGGTGAGACACAGACAGTTCCCTGTGGCATGTGCACCATAGGTCTGCCCCCCCCGCCCCAGACTCTACTTCCTCATTTCTGCTTCCTCTCACTTTCCCTGCTCTGAGCCCCAGTCTTTTCAGTTTCTTCGAAGAGCCCAGGTGTTCAGGTCCTTTCTGTCTATGAAGAGGCTGTTGGGAAGGGTAGCTGGGAGGATTAGGACCCTAGAGATGTCTTTCCAAACCCTGCTTTGTTGGGAGTTTCCTCTGAGGTCTAGGTTTACCATACCCCTGCCAAGGTCATAGGGGTCATGGGGATGGGTGTGCGTGCGTGAGGGGGGTTGGAGGCGCCCTTGCCCGCTCAATCCCACGCTAACAGGACACTCTCTCTCTCTCCAGGTGGCTTTGATTTTTGTGTCGTGTTTTATTTTCTCCTCCATCTGAATCGTTTTTCTCGTTGACCGTTTTTTTTTCTCTCCGCCTCCCGGAAGAAAAAAAAAAAAGAAAAAAAGAAAAAGGAAAAAGCACCCCTCCCAGCCTTATGCTTCTCCTCCTTTTCCTTTTTTTTTTTTCCGGCAAGAAGAAAAAAAAGAAACCAAAATCTCCTCTTCCCCCTTGCAGCAATTCCCTGCCCCATCTTCCTGGTTCACCCCCCTCACCTGCTCTGGTGCCCCCTTATCTCTCTTTTTCTCTTCCCTCTCCTGCCCGCTCCCTTCTTTTCTGCATCGGGCCCCTTTCCCCAGCTTCAGGGCTGGGGGCTCTCCCTCCCGATGTCTGTCACAAGTTAAAAAGGGTTTTTAAATTGTGGCAGCAAAAGCTTTTTTTCTCCCTTCTCTCCGACTGATTTTGATGACTCGTGTTTTCTTTGTTTCTTTCCCCTTTTCTTTCTTTTTTTCTTCTTTTTTTTTTCCTTTCTTTCTTTCTCTCCTTCCCCTTTCCAAGGTCCGGCTCACCTGACGTTAAACAGCGAAGGTATGGTTTGAAGTTTTGGTTTGATTTGGATTGGATTGCCCCAACCTGCGCCTGGAGTTTTCTGTTCTTCTCCCTCCCTGTCCCCCTCCTCCGCCTGGCCTCCCTCCTTCCTTCCTTTCCTACCCTCTTCCTCTGCCATGTCTTTATTTTATCGGGGTGCTGGGTAGGGGTGGGAGGCTGGTCCACGTCTGTGCGCTCCCCTCTCTGTCTGCCCAGATGTGCTCCATCTGCCCTCATCTCACCTTGGTTTCTGACATCAAGAGATGTTTGAACTCCTGCCGTTGTCTCCAGTCACCTTTTTGCGTTTTCCTGGTAGTGTATCTCGTCTGTTTTCTTTCTCATGGCCGTGTTTTATTTCCTTCCACTCATTCTGATCATCCTTTCTTTTCTGTGAACCCAAGTAAACAGAAAAGGGCCTGGGCTGGAGAAAGAGTATATGAACACCTACATTCCCCTTTCCTGGTCACTTCTGTCACCAGAGTAGAGTGAGGAGGGAAGGAGTGGGAGACTGGAGGTGTAGGATCCCACCTTCCCCAGTGTCCCACTGGCTACCTTCACCTTCGTGTCTTTGAATGGTTCTCAGTGCTATTTGATAGATGAGACCCTCGAGGACCAGAGAAGTGAGGTGACTCACTAATGATCACACAGCTCTAACTGGTGGGACTAGTCCTTTAATTTGAGCCTCCCTTCAGCCAAGACCCCGCCACCTTTCAAAGCCCTGGCGTTGAGCAAACTTCAAAGTCTTGACTGCTCCCCTCCAGCTCTGGCCTCTCTCACCCTCCCTGTCATTAACTCTGTGAGCACAGGGGCTTGACCTTCCAGACCTGGGGCACTGCCTTACCTGCCCAGTGTCGACTCTGTTGAGGGTTGTCCAACACTGAGTCAGGGCAAGGGGACCCACAGGATCAAGACTGGACCGTGGGGAGAGACTACAGAGATCTGAAAATTGGGATGGATTTAGGTGTGGGGAGGTAGGGGCCTGAGGTTCTCATAGGGATGTGAAATTTTGGCAAGAAATGTAGGGAAGGAGAGTCTCAGATGGGCAGTTGGGAGAAGATGCCCTGGATGGGTCACTTAAGTCCTTCTTGCCTTTCAAGGCTTGGTTCTGGGAGTGCTGGCTGTGGTTCACCTAGTCATAGGTGAAGATACTTCGGGAGGGTCCCAGATTCTTCCCCTTCTCCAGAAAGCTCCTCAGCTCAGATGTTATTCTAGTTTTAGCTCTGGGGCCTTAGGGTTAGATTAAGAGCACAGAAAGGAACTTTTCCCTCATCCCTGTGTTTCCTCATCTTGAAGCCACTCCGACATTAGGACAGGTGGCTGGGGGCCGGACACTGACAGCACATGTTCGTGGGCAGAGTCAGACTAGAACTAAGCTGACCTGGAGCCCAGACATAGCAACTGGTGCCTGAGAGACCGTAGGAGCTGAGGTTTGGTGGGGAGGAACAGGGTGGTAGGGAGTGAGAACTAACTCCCAAGGCCCCCCACATACCTGGTGAGCTCTAACCTAGTCAGGATCTCCCACTGGGTACAGCCCTCCTGTGGGCAGGAGGGAGGGCAAAGCACCACCAGGGAATGTGGGTTGTCCCTGAGAAACCCCTGGGAAGCCCCATTCTGTAAATGGTGACACTTAGAGCACTCACTGTGAGGATCAATGCAGATGTAGGTGACTAGGGAGAGGACAGGCACAGAGCAGAGGAAGGGTCTGGTGTGTGACCTGGGGAGGATTTTGCATTTGGTGCCTGTGTCAGGCTTCTGAAGGAGTTGGGTGTGAACTTGGACTCAGCAGAAGGGACATGTGTGGAGATGCACAGTGGAGAGGGGCCTGGGCCTTGGAGGAGGCCTTGGCCAGGAGATGAAGTAGAGATTGGCAGCAGGACCTCAGGGCTTCCATGTCCCCAGGGCTGGCCTGTTTGCTTGTCCCTCTGTTCCTCTGCCTACTCTCCCTCCCTGGGCAAAGTTGAAGTTCATGAGTCTGATGGGGTCTGTGGGGGCCAAAGGTCCTTGGTTTGTCAACTAGCTCCTTCCCCAGAGGTCCTGAAGGCGAGTGAACGCCCAGAAAAGTCCTCCTCTCCTGTGCCTGCAGGCAGCACCTTTGCCCTGGAGAGGGCCCTCCATCACCTCCAGGCTGGGGTGGGATTGGCTGGGAAGCCCCTTGTGCCTGACTCCCCAATTCTGCTTCTCCAGTAGGGTCCTTACTGTTCTCCGAGGGGGGGGCCGGGAGAGGAGGAGCCGGCGATGTGCACCAGCCAACAAAAGGTCAGTGACCCCACGGCCCCCGGAGAGCTTAGCCCTTACCCTGCTGCAGGCCACTAGTGCTTCCTGTGGGGAATCCAAGCTACGCAGGTGCACCCCTTATACCTGGAGGCCTGTGGTGGATCTACACTGCAGTACCATTCCCTGTGTGCCATTGCTGGCCTGGTGAGAAGAGCCACAGCCTCCATGTCCTTCCCAAAGCCCAGCTGTCCTGACATCGCATTCTAGAACACTGATTTCCTTCTCTATGGCAGTTGTCAGGCCCATCCCTGGAAAGTGTCTGTTTCTCTGGGGTAGCACCAAGGAGGCAGGGTGGTCCCCATTTATCCATCAAATCTGGGCTATGGGGCACCCTGCCCAGGGGAATTCTGGTAGGGAGATGTGGCATCCCTGATCACGTCTCAGTGAGCCTTTGCAACCCTTGGTGGTTGGCTCATTTCTTTCATTTTACACTGGCCAAAGCCCTCAAGGCCAGCACAGGGCCCTTTCGTGTGCCTGGGGGCTCCAGGACTTTAGCTCCTGTCTCACATTGAGTCCGCCTCTCGAGTGAGCATCTCTTTCCTGAGAAGTTTTCTGGCCAGTTTGACACCCTGCTGCTGCCGTGGGGCTGAGGCCCTGCACTTTCATACCCATCTCCATCCTTCAGCTGGCGGTTCTTCTGTCTGCCCGGGCTCCCGCTGTCCGTCTCCTCTGCTGGCTCCTTGCTGTCTCTTTTAACTGCCTCTTGAAAGAGCAGCCATGCTGTCCACACTGGCAGTCTCCCTGAATCTGCAGGCCAACCTGGACACTCCCAGAATGCCCTTGGTCCACAGCTTTGTTACATATCATAACTGTCACTTTACCTGCTTGCTGCCCCCACTGCACTGAGCTCCCTGAAGACAGGAATTGGGTATTTTCATCTGTGTGCCCCATGCTCTGCACAGCTCCTGGCACCTATGTAGTAGGCGTGAGCTCAGCACATTTATTTTAAATGAGTGAATGGTCTCTGTTCCCAGGGGGCTCATTGATGTTCGCACAAATAAGTACCATAAAGCGTGGTCCATGCAAAGTATCTGAAAAGTGCAGACTTTGTTCAGAGGAATTAATTTATTCAGAGAGAGAGAGAGAGGGTGGGAGGGAGGGAGCGAGGGGGAGAGAGAGAAACACGAGCGCATATTCACAGAAAGTTGTATTCCAGTGGAAGAGTCCTTTATTTGTGGGCTGGTTCACAGTTTAGGAAACTGCTCCCATCCGCTCTTTCTGGATGCTCACAGCAACTGTGAGGTGAGCTTATGATTAGCTTCTTTTTCCAGAGGAGAAGGCAGGGCTTAGAGCTAGGTTGTATCTTGGCCAAGGTCACAGAGCTGGTGGCAGAGCCAGCACTAGCGCCCAGGTCTTCTTTCTCACATCACACTTCCTCCCCAGGGAGCAGTACAAGACGTTACTAGGCAGTAAGTGCCAAAGGAGCAGAACAGACAGCTGTAGTGCCAGAGAGGAGGGAGGGTCGGAGGGGGCTGGAGACCTTCCCAGAGGAGGCCTTTGAGCTGGGCCTGGAAAGGAGGCAGCTGCTGTGTCCCTCTCTTTCATGGCTCTTGGAAACCTAGGACCACAACAGCTAGTCCCTGGCCACATTCAGCTTCACTGGGCACACTTGTGGGTCCACAGACATCCCCCACCCTCAACTGAGGGAGGTAAACAAATATTAGCTATCACCTTCCTGTACCAGAAGCTCTTAAGAGCAATAATTGTTCAGGTGTTGCTGGGAGTTGTAGTTCTCAGTCCTGCCCACCTGGGAGACAGAGTGGAGTGCCCCCTGGTGCCTCCGTGCTCATGCAACCTAGATCTGGTTTGTACTTTGCTGAGTACCCTCCACCACCTATATTCAGACTGAGTCCCGGATCCTCCTCCTGCTCTACCCCAGGTTCTCTGACCTCTCTATCCCTTCTGGCTTTCTTTTCTACAGCTCACGCCTCTAATTTCCTTTCTTCAAAGGCTCTGGCTCCCTTGGGCTGCTGTGTTTCTCCTCCCATTTCTGGGCTTACCAGGTCTCTGGTGGCCGAAGGACTTGAACCTACTAGGCACTAGCTGCAGTGTGGCTGGCTTTGCTTCTCCTCAGAGACAGGAGGCTGAGCTGAGGAGTCGAGGAATGGCCTTATTTCCCCACTTTGCCTTGGCAGCTGTGATCCAGCCTCTCTCTCTCTCTCTTTTTTTGGCTTCTTTTGTTCTGTCCCAATCACTTTTTCACGTGGCTGCCTTATTCTTTCTTTTCGTTCTGTCTGACTCTGTAATATTTTCTTTGACTGCAGTGAAGGTGAGGGAGTGGGAGGGGAAGCCTGACTTCTGGGCGGGACTAGCCAGTACGTGTGGCAAACCCAAGGTCAAACACATTCACTTTTCTAGTCCTTGAGCCCCCTGGTTCTGCCAGTGTCTGAGCAGCAGGCCTGGTTGCTATGGAAACAGTAAGGCCCCAGAAAGCCTTGGCTTCATTCCCTAGAGGTCCCTGTCCCCTTTCCTTGCTGGCCTTCTTCCCGTCTCCCTTCCCTGTCCCCTTAGGGCTTGCTCCTTTTCTTTATTTATATAGATTCGTGTTACGTTTTGCTCCTTCAGCCCTGAGCTGTCTGTTTCTCTTCTGTCCCTCCTGTGGTGGTCTCCATCTTTTCCCTCTCCATGCCACCTCACTTCTCATCACCCTTCCTCTCCTCTTTCCCTTATTGTCTCTGCTGGACTCTTCACCTTTGCTTCTGACTCCCTAAGTAGTTAGAGGGGGATTCAGATTGTCCTGGTAGGCCCCCCAGCCTCGCTGCCCTGGGGCCTCAGGACACCAGGCCTTGCCAGCTGCAGTGAGGGCTGTGCCAGGCGCTGGGGCAGCAGCTGGTACCTTGGCATCCGGAGGCAGTGAGGCGGTCTGTGGGCAGGCTGCCCACAGAGAGAGGCAGGCTGTTGTGTGGGGGAGGAGTTCTGCAGAATCTGTACCCAGAGACCCCCACATCCACATGTGGCACTTCTGTTGAGCTCTGTCCCGTAGGGAGAGGGCAGCTGCATCCTAGTGGCCCTTCATGCCCCTGGCACGGTGCCTGCTCTTTTCCAGGCCTTTGGAACATCTCCTGAGAACTTCTGTGCTTGGACGGCACAGTTTCTGCATAAATGCCCTTATGACACAGTCCTGTTTGCCCCTAATGCACCTGGGAAGATAGGCAGTGCCAGCAGTGGCGTCACCATTAATTGGTAAGGAGACATGAGCCACTGCCTGGGTCCAGGGCCTCTAGTCTCCCTGACTCCCGATCTGGGTCTCTTCCCTCTGCTGTGCTCTGGTTTGTGCAGTTGTCACGCTGGACTCCAACATCCTGGTACCAGCGTCATTGTCCTCTCACTTGTCACCACTTGCAGAGCACTGGCCATCCCTCCGGCCCTCCCAGCAGCCGTTGCTTCCGCTTAAAAAGTGCCAGTGGAAGGGGCTGTTGTACCCCTGTCCCACCTGGCATATACAGGTTGCACACCCAGTACCACGGACCCTGTGGAGGCTGTCCGGGTTGCAGTAGGAAGCTGGGGTAGAGGTGAGAGCTGGCGTGGTGGTCACGTGTGTGTCTGGGCACAGTGGCCTGCTGCTACCTCGTGCATATCCCTGTCACCTGCATTGCTTTCCCATGTGTCTTCTCCTTGCCCTTTCCCTTCCTGTGCTTCCCATTCTCTTCATCTGATCGGTGCTCTACAGCAGGCCTTCTAGTCCCATCCCAGAGGGTAAGGCTTGAAACTGTCCCTGAGCACTGAGAACAGCTGTCACCAGAGGAGAGGGGGAGGTGGGCTGCACTCCGGAGACCCTCAGTGCCCCTGTCCCAGGGTGGAACTCCCGGGGATAAGCCAGATAGAGCTCTTGTTTCTCTTCCATGTCCCTTTATGAAGGGGGTTGGAGTTGATAGGAGTTGCTGTTGAGGACCCTTTCTGCTTTGCCTGGCCTTGTGGCAGCTTAATTGTCAGCTGCCAGCGTGAGATCCACTTAGCAGCCTCCTGGTTTGGAAATGGACCTGGGAGAAGTTGACTTTGACAGCAAAGATGGCAGGGTCCAGAGAGGAGGATTGACAGGCTTGGTGAGGAGGGTCCCCGAAGCCTAGATGCAGGACTGCAGGACTCCTGGTGCCCAGGAGGGGGAGAGGGAGGCTCTGGCAGACTCCACCCCACTCAGCCTTCTTCTGTTTTCCCAAACCATGGCGTCCAGGCAAGGAGGAGTTCGTGGCGACCTTCAAAGGAAATGAGTTCTTCTGCTACGACCTATCACACAACCCGATCCAGAGCAGCACAGACGAGATCACGCTGGCCTTCCGCACCCTGCAGCGCAACGGGCTGATGCTGCACACGGGCAAGTCAGCTGACTATGTCAACCTGTCCCTCAAGTCTGGGGCCGTCTGGCTGGTTATCAACCTAGGCTCGGGAGCCTTCGAGGCCCTTGTGGAACCCGTCAATGGCAAGTTCAACGACAATGCCTGGCATGACGTCCGGGTCACCCGAAACCTGCGCCAGGTAGGGGGAGCAAGAAGGCCAGGGGTCAGCCACATGTGGGGCAGAACACAGGCGGAGAGAGGGCTGCTTGAGGTGTGGCAGTGAGGTGTAGTTCTGGAGAATTACAGGGTTCAGGACTGTGGGGGCCCTTCCAGCGTGGCCATAGCTGTGTGGCTGGCCTCGGAGACCTCAGTGACTGGGATTTGAACTAGGTCCCAAACTGCTTCTATACAGGAGCCTGAGGTCAGGGGAAGATGTGGGCTCCAATTGGCGGGAGCAGCTGAGATTTCAAGGACTGGGGCTCAGAGAATCAGTTGACACAGGGGGCTTCAGGATGGGAGGAGTGAGCGGAGCCAGCTGACATAGGAGGGCCTGGGAAGCTGGTGTGGAGAAGGGTCCTTCAGAGTGAGCAGGCCACTCTGGTGGAGCAGGCATGAAGGTCCCAACACTGAAGCAAGCAGGCAGAATTGGGTTGGGGACAAAATCTGGTCTGGCCTCCGAGAGGCTTTTCTAAGGCTCAGACCGGGATGGAGTGAACTCAAGCGGATGAAACAGTTGGGGAAGGAAGACAAGATCAGAGAGGTGCCACCCCTGCTTCTCCTTTGGGCAAGACTTGCCCTGACTTACCCTTCCTTTCCCATCCATTCCCTTCCAAGGCACCAGGCTTCCAGCTCTCTATGACTTGCCTTTTACCTGTGGCTCCTAGGCCAGCCCATACAGGTACTCTAAGGGGACCCTTCTGGATCAGCCCCTAGGTACAAGGTAGTACCCTTCTTTGTAGTGTCCCGTCAGCTTCTGCTCCCAGACTCACCGCCTAGACAGGTGCTCTTACAAGTGGCCCTGCCCTTTCCACTGCTTACAGAGCCTGTGGTGGCGTTCACAGGTGAGCCCACCTTTCTGGCCAGGCTTCGCTTGATAGGAATCCCACAACTAGTTTCCAGGCGCAAGAAGTTCCTGCCTCCTTCAGGGCCAGAGCCCAACCTTCTGCTCAAGTGTGAGAAGCCACTGGGCATTCTGGGAGCCTGTTTCTACCTCCTGGCTCCTGCCCCAGCTCACTGCCTCCTGGATCCCAGTTCCTGTGCTTTCTCTTGGGATCACAGTCTCATAGCTAACAGGAGCAAAGCTCTTTCAGCTCCATCCCTTGAAGGCTAAGTGCAACTGGGAAACCAGAACAGCCCTGTGTGCACCCTCAGAGGCTCCATCCTCCTGCATCGTGGCTGTTCTCTTGCTAATTTTCTTCAAGTGTCCTGGTTCTGGTTGGGTAGTGAGGAACTTTCTGGTATCAGTCTTCTTTGTCATCACCTTTGTTGCCCTCCTTCTCCTCCTCTCCTTCCTCCCACTGGGAGGCTTATTAATGGGGCTCAGGACTCTGGCTGACCTCCCACTCCTCTTACCTGTGCTCTTTTAACACTACCGGGTGATGATCTAATGGGGATTCCTCCTCATTTACTGCTGCTACCCCCTGCTGTGACAATGCTGTGACTAATCCGGCTGCTCTTTTGGGAACTTGCTGCCACCTGTTGCAGTCCAGCTCCTACTGATGTGCCTATTCTTAGTGCCCTCCACATTCTGCAGAGTGACATGCTTGGCGGAGTCACTCCTCCTCGATGCAGTGCCCCCTCGTGTTGTATCATCCCATTTCCTGGTCAGAGGGCGGTCTTGTGTTGTCACCCCCATCTGAGCCCACTTGAGTGTGTCATGTGCATTTGTAATACTTTCATGTACCACACACATGTTTTATTAGAGGCAGGGAAGTTGTCCTTAGTGCCTCTTGCTTGCTTGTCCTCTCTAGGACCAGTGCTGTCACCTGCTGCTGACTTCAGCAGGACACTGCAAGCTCACAGTCCCTAGCCACTCTTTTTTGGTACCAGGGCCTGAACTTGGGTCCTTGCACTTGCAAGCCTAGCTACTTTTTGCCTGGCCAACATAGTTCATCATACTGCACACAGAGAGAATGACATGATGCCTGCCCTCCCAGGACCTCAGATTTTGAGGAGACTGGATGGGACTGTTAAAAGTGAACAGAGGAAAGCCATGCAAGTGCCAAGTGGGCAGCAGAAGCCTTAATGTTCTGTGAACTTAAGAGATACCCAAGAGGAAGGAGAGGGCTGTGGTTAGGGGAGGCAAAAGAGCCACGTGGATAGGATGACACATGGCCCAAGCATGCTGTGTGTACACCTGTGACTACCTTGGGGCTTGCAGGGCCTGCAGGGATTGTAGGTCTACGCTAGTAACTGATGGAAAGTCCTTCTTTTCAGATTGTTCTATCAGCAATAGATAGTGACTCAGGGCAGAGGCCAGTCATGTTGACCCAGAAGCAGGACCTCCTGAGCACAGAGGCTCTCTACTTAAAGTCCTCCATTGATAGACCTCTTTAAAAAAGCCTTCTGAGGGGCCAGGGATTTAGCTCAGTGGAGCAGATGCCTGCCTCGCAAGCACAAGGTCCTGAGTTCTATCTCCTGTACCAAGAAAAATAAAAAATAAAAAAGCCTTCTGAGCTGTGTGTGGTGTCACATGCCTGTAATCCCAGCAGTCAGGAGGCTGAGACATGAAGATTGCTGTTGAGTTCGAGCCTATCCTGAGTTAGCTAGTGAGTTTAAGGCCAACCTGAACTACATAGTGCGGTCCTGTTCCAGGGAGAGGGCACTTCTGGAGGACTTGCTGACCCCTGAGTCCAGTCCATACCTATGAGTGAGAGGTACTCTCACTCAAGGCCTAGCCTGTGGTGAAGAATATCCTTGCGAGATTCTTCACCTGCCTGGTTTTAAGGAAGGACATACAAGCGTAATTTCTTGGGATCTGTTGTTTCTATGGTGTCTCTCAGTCACTCAATCACACTGTGCCCTCAGGAGATATCTGTCAATGTCTGGAGCCCTTTTGGGTTGTCATAACTAAGGAGTGTTACTGGTATCTTGTGGGTAGAGGCCAGGATCCTGCTATGCATTTCCAGCAAGGAATCTCAGACCCCACATGTCAGTAGTGCTGCTGGGGCGCAATCCTGGTTGTGCAACTTTATACAGTGTCCACATGACATCCTGGAACTGGGAAAATCCTGTGATAAGTGGGGTGCTGTGGACTGGGGTGGCTTGCATCAGTGTTCTGTCTCCCTCAAGTTTTTTGTGCCAGGAGATAAGACAGGGAAGTGGTATAAAAAATGACATCTACCTTCAGCTTTTCAGGGCACATGGCTATGATCCAAGAACTCTGTGGCTTCTACGTTATTTTCCTCCCAGGATTCCAGTGGCCAGGGAGATGGCTTCCTGGAAGGGTCTTCCCCAGAGCTAGCCCTCCCTTTTGCTTCTGGGACTATAACTGTGGGTCAAAAGTCAGCTCCAAAGACTGGAAAGAGGCTGAATTTTCCCCCTTGCACTCTGGATTAGGCTATCATCCCTGGAACCATCTAGATATTTTTAGACCATAGCAGTTAGGATCAGAGGGGGTCTGACTGAGACATTCTCTCTCTCTCTCCTTCTTCTTCTTTCAAACCCAGCTTTGAAGCTACTGTGATAGGTAGCTCTCTTGGGGGATCTTGGAAGATTACCTCTGAGAATTCCCTGAAGCCTATTTTTAATCATGGGCCTACTTTCCTTCCATACCCAGTATGTCTTCCAACCTCCTCCCATTACTGTGTAAGCAGAATGTGCAAAACCATTTTATCATTAGCCAGCACCAAACTTGGAAGACAATCTGGCTACTAAAACATCACATGATGCTTCCTCTTGCCTAGCTCAGATGACGCCCCTTCTCAGTGCAGAGACTTTCAGAAGCTCCCCTGAGCCCCAAGAATGGAATCCCTCAAGGACAGAATCTCAAGGATGGAGTCCTCAGGGACAGAATTCCCAAGAATGGAGTCCCCCAAGGATGGATTCCATCAAGGATGAAGTGTCCAAAGATGAGATCCCCAAGGATGGAGTTTCCAATGATTCAGTCTCTAAAGGATAGTATTCTCCAAGGATAGAGTTAATTCCCCAAAGACAGATTCCATCAAGGAATAAGTCCTCAGTGACATAGTCCCTCAAGGATGGAGTCCTTAATGATGCAGTTCTTTAAGTATGGAGTCCTCTAAGGATAGATTCTTTCAAGGATGGAGCCCCCAAAAGATGGAGTCCTTAAGGGTGCAGTCATCCAAGGATGGAGTCCCCAAGGATGGAATTTCTGAATGACCCAACAATGCAGTCCTCCAAAGATGAAGTCCCCAAGAATAGAGTCCCCAAGGGGTGAAGTCCTCATAAGTGGAATCCCCAAAGATGCAGTCCAGCAGGTATTTAGGATGTCTTTCCTCCCATGTCCTCTCTGGCATACAACCTGTCTTAAGACCTAGATCTGCTGCTCTCCATACCTGTCTACACCATTCCTAGTTCTTCCATTTCTTCCCACAGCTCTCCTAGCTGTACCCCTATTCATCTTCCTTTCTGTTTGATGAAATCCTAGAGTTAGGGTTGAGACAGATAGACTGGTTTCAAATCTCAGCTTTGCCACTAGTTGAGTGACTTCAGGCAAATTATACAACTTCTCTGAGCTTCAGTTCCTCATAGGCAAAATGGGAGGAGCCTTCTGGCAACCGAGGCAATGCCTAAAAGCACTCACAGCATCATGCCTGATGTGATATGAGCCCTGAAGGCTTGCTGCTGCCATGATCATTAGCTGTATTTTCTTTCAGTCCCTCTGGCCAAGTTTAAATGCCATCTTCTCTGTGAAAACCTTCCTCAACCTGGCTTCCTTGTTACGTTCTTCAAGCTCTAGAAACTTGTATTCCAGTTCTCTACATTTTGCCGGCATGTCAATATTTGTGTTCATTTCTTACCTCTACTTCTAGGTGGTCAGCTAATTGAGGCCTTAATGCCACCAACTGTTGAGTGCATGTAGTTGTTTTTGGAGTACTTTTCCTGATTCACTCAGTCTCTTTCTTAAAGCTGGTTGGTGACATTTTAGATGTGTGTCCAAAATGAGCAGATCTAACTACTTATATGAGCACTGAACTACTTCTTGTCATCCTGGGAGAGACTCTAGTTTGCTTTATGAGCCCAGAAGAAAGCCTGTCCCACTCCCCAGCCCAAATTTTCTCAGTACTTCATCCTCTGCCAAGCATTTTTCATATCACACCAGAACCTCTCTCCTCCACTCACTCCCAAGTTCAAGGTTCTCATTTCTCTTTTGTATTTCATCTAGCTTTTATAGCAATTTCACGAGTAGGAGATATGATTCCCACTTTACTGATAAGGAAACTGAAGCTCAGAAGGTTAAAGAATTTTCTCAAGGCTATCCAGAAAGGAGGTGGTGGAATTGGAAGTTTGTATGACTCAGAAGCTACTCCATTTCTCTGCCTTCCAGAGAGGGCCTGGTTGTTGTCATTGATACAAAATGCAAAGGAGGCCATAGTTCCCCTGTGGCTCTGTCATTCTGTGATATTCAAGCATTCTGCTCATGTCTCAGAAAAATGGGTTCCTCTGTGGCTGAGTGCCATGTGTTCCCCTTCTTTGTCCCAAGCTTCCCTTGTTCATGCTCCACAGACTGTCTTCATTCCAGATTTTTGTGACCTGTGCTTTCTTGAGGGTGCTAGAGTCCCCAGGGTTCACAGTACAGATAGGTTATAGTTTGGTGCAAAGGCCGTTGGCCATGGTAAGTTCCCACTTGTTATAATGACTCGCTTCTCCCCTGTGTCCATGGTGCCGTCCTAACTCATCAGACACTGCCATGCTGAGCTCTGTGTAGATAAGGCCTTCGCTGCTCACTTACTGGTTTGAAAGCTCAGCTCCCCAGATTCTGGCCTGGGCTGCTTTCTCCCTTTCCTGAGCTGTGTCGCAGGGATGGGTGCCAGTGGAAGCGCTGTTCAAGTATCTGACCACAATGGCCTCTAAATCATGATCACCCAGACAGGGTTCTGGATCCTCAGTCCCTGGGTTTAGAGGATTCCCATCTCATCTATGCCAACTCTGCCGATTTTCAGAGGAAGCCTGGTTTCTTGACAAATTAGTGGAAAGCCCAGGTTTTGAAATCACTTTTCTTTTTTCAATCTTGTTTTTATTTTTTATTATTTTATTTATTTGGCACCGGGGATTGAACTCGGGATCTTTCATCTATCCTGTTTTTGAATGAACTGTTCTAATTATAACATTTTTGCCAACATTGGAACCTTTTTAAAAATTTTATTCTCCATAACCAGTTCTTATTCAAAAGAATAGTACTCAGTCTTTTGCTTTCAATGCCCCTCCCCACTTGTACTGTGCTGTCAGATAACTCTTCCCTTTTTGAGTGCAGTTTCCTGCCCCAAAGCTCAGTGTTCCTTGTTCTGATGAGTTGGCCTCTTCATTTCATGGCAGCCCTACTAGCTAGGGGTCCTAATCCTCTTCTCATATGTTATTCCTTTGCTCCAATCACTACACCTGCAATTAGACTGTTTTGCTCTGTAAACTGCTTGCTTCTACATCACTGGTAATTAATGTTGGTTATTCAGCATTTCTTCTAGCTGCTCAATATTGAATTCTGATATTTTTAATTATACAAGGCCCTTATTAATTATCTTACTGAATTAGTCCTGTGCCCACTGGTTATACTAACTCTTTAACTAGTGGCTCTGTCCCTAAAATATCTCTCCTCCTCACAGTCTAGGCTGTGCAGTAGTGTTTAATGGATGCCAAACAACAGTATCCCTCCATCTCCAGTGCTCTTAAGTAAAGCTGCCTTGGCCTTTTTGACATCTCCTTTTCAGAGACCAGGTTAATGGTGAAGGTAGTTGTTGCTGCTGTCCTTGGCAGTGGGAAGAGAAAATGAGCTTAGAAGCACATGGGAATGAGGACTTTGGAAGCCGGGGTAGGAGATATGACTTCTAGTTCAGGGAGGAGGAAGGGATTTCAGAGGTAGGTGGGCTTCAGTGTTCCTCCTTGTGGGAAAGAGGGTGGTGCTGGTAACAGGAATCAGAGGTTTGGGGGTTTCTGTGCACACACAGAAGGACTTTGGGCTGCAGGGTGGTCTTGGCAATTCCAGGGCCTTGTAGGGATGGTGGTGGTGGACACTTCATTCTCAGGGGGATGGATGCATGAAGGAGAGTAAGAAAATAGGGATGAGGACTTTTTGGGGAAATCTGTACTCCAGAAAAATCAAGATGGGCAGGCAGGAAGAAGCAGGTATGGGTGGGAGAGGGACCGGAGAGGGAGGCTTTGGGATGATCAGATACAATGTGAACATGAAGTCTCTGCCAGCCCATGGAGGGCAAGGTTTTCTTTCCCCTGTTCTGATGATGGTCCACTCTTCTTTTCTCAAGGAAGAGAAGCAAGGAAATAAAAAAATGTAAAAAGAAAGAGAGAGAGAGAAGAGGAGCTGTTTCACTCCCCTAGTGACTCCTTGGATCTAATTGCCTATCCTCCCATTCCCAGGAAAAGCAGATGCCCATGTCCCCTCCTGTGCTCCTTGGGAAACACTTTGGCCTCCAAATGAAACTGCCTGTCATTCTAGCCAGTTCTTTGAATCTCAAGGGGCTTTGCCCACTTTTTTCCCAGCCTGACAGCCAGCTGGCCCATCACCAACCAGTTAACCCATTAACCTAACATGACCACTGGTCAGCCAGATGGCCAGCATGAGATAACTTCCTAGCCGGTTCTCTGGGAAGCCATCTGGTTGATCAGTCAGCTAACAAACCCATTGTCCCTGCCTCAAGTCAGGAGTCCACCCCTGCTCACACCCCTGTTCTTCTTCCTTCCCTCCTTTCAACTCCCTCCCATTTCAGCTGACGAGACCTACTAATACTGCATAACTGGGTCTGCTTCTTAACCCCGCCTTTCCTCTCTCCCCTTCTGTTGGAAAACCCCATTGCCGACTCTGTGTGTGTTACTAACACGCTTATAACCCAGGGGACCAAGGGACGGGCAGGGATAGGTGGGGCAAGGTATGAGTGAAAAACCAAACTAACCTTTCTGTCTCATCTTCGGAATGTCAGCCATTTTTAAGTCTTTGCTTTCTTGGTCCAGTTCTTTTGTTGTTTTCTTCTCTACTAACCAAGGTCTTTAACTGTTCCCCTTCTCTGCAGATGGCTCTTCAGGGAGGGGGTGAGGGGGAGAGGAATGCAGATGAGGGGTGGGGGGGATTGGGACAAGAAGGGATTTAATTTTGTGTGTGTGTTTTATTTCTTCCTCCCATTATAATTTAATTTTCTTTAAACCAAATACTTCTGCTGAACCTGAGGTGGGAGGGTTTGAACAAACAACCAAATATATATGGATATATATTTTTCCTCCTTCCTTGAGTTTCACAGTTAGTCATTTTATTTTTCTTTTCTTTTCGTTCTGTTCTTTTGTTATTGTCTTTGTTGGTTTTTTTATGAACCCCTCCCCTCCCCCTCTCCGGTGAAGCACGCAGGGATTGGACACGCTATGGTAAACAAACTGCATTATCTGGTAGATATCACTCTAATTGTCTTACCGTTTGGTTTGCCGTGGGTTTTTTTAACTGTTCGATTCTCCCACTTTTGTTTCCTCTCCTGGTTTGGTTTTTGGTTGTTTTGCTCTTCCAATTGTTTTTTGTGTCCTGGACAATCTTTTAGATTTTGCTTCTCTTTAGTTTTCTTCCCTCCCTTTTCTTTCTTGCCTTTTTTTTTTTTTCTCTTGGTCCCATCTCAAATCCAAAAGACAATTGGAAATTAAGGAATTTGGCCTGGCCCTGCCCTATAATCCCTGCCTTCTGAATTCAGATTCCTGGCCAGAGCGACCTGGGGCAGGCCCTGTGGTCACTGGCTCTGGTTAGACTAGCCCCAATGCCAAGCAGCTTATTTCGATTGCTTTCTTTTGTTCTTTTTCCTCCCCTCCCTTGTTTTTTCTCTTTGATTTGGTTTCTTTCTTGGTCTCCTGAAAATCCATGGAAAACACCATATCATGACATGCTCTGCTCTGCTCACTATCATCTCTGGATGGAACCCCTCAAGCTAGGGCAGGGCTGGGGGTGCCACCTCTACTGGCAGCCATCTGGACAGCGGGAGGGTAGGGGGTGACCTTGGGAGACAGACTGCCTTCAAATCACCAACTTATACCAGTTTGGGGACTGCTTCACGGTGGCTGCCAGGGGAAAGGTGACATCCCCTCCCCTACTTCTTAGTCTTGAGGGTTCCCTGTTTGTCTCCCCCACACTTTGCATGGCATGAATGGTCTTTCCCCCGACCAGGGATAGTGTCCAGTCCCCCCACCGCTCCGCTGCTCTGACTAACACTGTGTTTCACACTGTCTTCCTTCCCCTGTGCCCTCTCCTCTGTGCCCTTGCTTCTCCTGCATGGCCATGGACCAGGGCTTGGCTTACTTCCTTGTTGGAGGGCAGTCCCTGCAGGGTGGAGCTGAGCCAAACTTGGCTGTCCGTGTCTTTGCCAAGCGCCTGTGTTTGGGCTGGGCTCGGGCCCGGTGAGTTCTGGTGTGGGTGTCAGTGGAAAGGCAGCTGGTGTGTGTTGGTGTGTGGGTGCAACTGTGTGTAAATGTTGGTGTGACATTTAAGGGTGTTAGTGGGAAGCCGTGCTGTGTGTTTGGGAGCCTGCTGGTGTCTTTACATGTGTGTGAGCTGGTATGAACGGGGGCTATAGGGTTGGTGAGGATTCTGCCCTTCAGTGTGGATGCCGTGACTGGCAGGGGCAGGGAGGGGCTGGATGGCCCTTTGCTCCTTGCCTTCCTGCCTGCCTGGCTGCCTTAGAATGTGGGCCTGTAAGCCCTATGGTGCGTGATCCCCTGGGATTCCCTCAGGCCTGCCCTGTGCTGGCTCTGCAGCAGCAGCTGGTTAGTCATCGCCTATTAATAATGTAGAGTGATTGAGCACTAGGCTGGGGACCCTGCAGATGGACGTGTCTGCTCCTGAGGGACTGGCGCTGCTTGGGGCAGCTTCCTGACCTGCTCAGCCTCCCCCACTGTGTGGCTGACTGGCTGGAGCAGAGGAAGGTGCTGGAGCTGGAGTGAGTGCCCAGCCTGAACCACCCCACCCCACCTCCCTAGAAGGCTCCCTTGGAGGCCAGACCAACACCTTTCCAGGTATGCATTTTCCTACACTCACACAGACTAATGCCATGGCCGGGGTCGCCCCAGTCATCCCCAGTCTACTCTGTGGCTACTCCTCGATGCCCTAAGATTCAGATGGAGCTGTGTGGTGGGGCCAGCCCCACCCACCACAGGCTGTGTCCCTCCTGCTGCTCCCAGGAGTTAGCTGCTACTCACCTTACTCACTGAGCACCGTTCTGGAGTTAGCCATTTGGAACTCTCTTTGCAGGTCTTCACTGAACAGTAGGCCTGTGATTTTGAGGACTGAAGGGGAGGCAAGATCAGCCCCTGGGATATACCCCCAACCACCTGGGCAGTACCACCCTCAAATTAGGACACAGTAAGCCTTCCTTCTCATCTCAGTTTGGTGGAAACGACCACAAGGACTGAGGCTACAGAAGTTCAGTTTCCTCATCTGCCAAATGAGCTGAAAAAACCTGCTCTGACTGTTTCATGGGATCAGTAAGAAGGTCAAGAAGGGCAATGCAAGTGAAAGCTTCTGTACTCAGTCAGGGAAATTACAGTTTTATTAAGCTTTATAAAGTGTTAGCTGATTGTCTCTGTGTTTCTGGGGCAGGGATGTGTATGAAAAAGCCATTTCCTTCCCATAGGAAACTCTGGCCCTCTGGGAGACCGTATTGCCACTCCTCGTTAGGAATCAGTCCCAGAATAACTGCATGAAACCTCAGAATGCTTTAGAAGTTGGTCTGGCAAGGAGGGGAGAGGAATGGCATGGTGAAGTTGGTTGAGAAATCAACAGCCCTCTTTCAGCCCTGGCAAGGAAAGTCTTTGCTAAATTCCACATGTTCAAGTCCACATTTCCCTGCATGAGCAGCACCAACTAATGAAACAGCCATTCTTCTTGGTCTCATAAACCCTTATAAACCTGTCCTAAGGGCCATCTGTCAGGCCAAGGTTAGAGTCAGAGAATAGGGCGCTGGCACAGAGGGGGTTTGGCAAGTTAAGTTCCCAAGTCTTCCCTTAGATGGGTTTTATATTGATTTTTACTTACTCATCCATTGGACTCATCATTTGAGCCCTTCTCTTTTGGGGAGAGGGTGGGCACAGGCCGAAAGGTCCACCAGCCAGTTGAGAGGTTTGGATTGAGTGTGGTCAGGCTGACGGATGCCTGCATGTAAAGATAGAAATGGCTCCTTGACATACATCAGGGTCTATCTTTCATACTTTGAGAATCATTTAAACCAGGATGAATCCTGGGTTTCAGGCAGTAGGTAGGAATTGTTCCCAGTTCATAGATGAGGAAGTTGGGGCCCAGAGAAAATTCTTTGCTGGGGGCTGCACACCCAGCTCCAGAGGAGCCTCGCACTTGCCTCTCCTTTGATGTTCAGGGTAAGCCTGGAAAGTAGGAAGTTGTTAAACCCCTTTTATAGGCTGGAGAGTCAGACAGGTACAATGAGATTGTTCAAGAAAATGGTAAAGGCTAAATGAGAACTCAAAAGTTTTGACCTGAAATCTTTCCCTGTGCTCCCAAACTTTATGAAATCCAGACCTCAGAATGTACTTTCTGTAGGGCTGTAAATATTGTCGGACAAGCTCATCTCCCGGTGTGTCTTTTCAGCTGTCCCTGGCTTTAGTCAGCTCCCTTGTCCGCTTCAGGTAGCTAACCTCCACACGCAGCTGGATTGCAGCCCCTCACCCATGCAGAAGTCCCTTCCTTCCCGCTGTCTCCAACTCCCATACCCACTCTGCTCCACCCTGATGGGGCGCAAGCAGTATTTTTCTTCTTTTGGAGACAAGGTCTCGCTTTGTAGTTCAGGCTGGCCTTGAACTCACTGTGTATCCCAGGTTGGCCTGTAACTCACAGCAATCCTCTTGCCTCCTAAGTGCTGGAATTAAAGGTGTGTGCCACTACATCTGGCCAACCAACATTTTAATGGACATTTTTTTTTTTATACTGGTGATTGAACCCAGGGCTTTCACATTTTCCCCAGCCCCTTTCATTTTTTACTTTGAGATAAGGTCTTGCTAAGTTGCTAAATTCTCCAGGCTGGCCTCGACTTTTCGATCCTCCTGCCTTAGCCTCCAGGAGTGCTGGGATTACAGGCATGAGCATCTCTTGGACTAGTTTTTAACTACATTAGGCTTATGGATCCCTTTGAGAATTTGGAGCCAACAATGAACTTTCACAGGAGATAGAAGAGCCCATTCCTATAATTTTCATACACTGTCCAGGGGCTTCAGGAAAACCCACTCAGTTGCCTACAAGTTAAAAACACCTGCCTTCTGAGCCAGGTGTGGTACGGCCTGCCTGTAATCCTAGTGCTTGGGAAGGGGTGAGGCAGGAGGATCACAAGTTTGAGCCCATCCCGGGCAACTTAGTGCTTTACAAGACCCTTAACAAAGTCTGGAGATGTAACCTCAGTGCAAAGGCTGAGTCCCAAGCTCCCATATGGGGGAGAGGACAGAAACAAACAAACAAATAAACAACAATAAAAAAAAAATCTGCTTTCTAACTTATTCTCCCCAGAATAGGGAGGGCAGTGACTCTAATAGTGGCAGACAATTGGGGAAGCTGTGGACAATGGCAGAATGTTCCCTTTGTCCTCGCTCTTTTTTTCTAAGGACCCACTAGGGTAGGGATATTTATGGCTATTATTGTTTCTCCACAATACTCAGCCTACTTCCAGGGTTCCAGGCTGCCCTTGGGGCACCTCTAGCCAACCACATGGCTCCAGGGGAGCACGTGGGGCTGGGCCGGGGCTGCTGCTGTCTTGACTCCTGCCCTCTTATAGTGCTGTTGACCTGCTTCAGAAGCCATTGTGGTCAGCTGGCTGTATTGATGGCTTGCTGTGGGTTGGGCGCAGACTCTTGGCTGGGTCTTGGGTCCTGGCTGTGGTCTTCAGGATGTTGCTCAGCAAGGAAGCCCAGACACCCCCTCCCTGGGTGACCTTGGGCAGGATGCAGTGTGTGTGCAGGTGTGTCTGGGGTTGACTGGTGGCCAGTGGGGCGAGGAATGATTGGGAGTCACCTGCTGGTGAGGAAGCTCAGATATGATGTCCCCTCTCTTTTTTAACTCATGAGCATCTCTGTCTGATGTTGTTCCCCTCTCCTCCTCTGTGGAAGGAAGCTCCCTGTTCCTGCACCCCACAGCTCTTTTGCCTCCATCTCCACTCCCGGCCCCCTGCCCTGCATGCCTTCTCACCAGCGCTGCCTTTTTCTGGCTTGTGCTGCTGGGCCTGGCCTCTGTCCTGCTCCTCTAACCTGCATGGGTCCCTGCTGCAGTGGCTGCTCTGTATCGCATGGTCCCCTTCCTCCCTACCTCCCCTGCTGGCCCCACCCCTTCCAGAAGCTTCATTGGGGGGGGTTGGGGGGCAGGGGCATCAAGAACCCCTGGAGTGGAGGGGGACAGGGGAATTATTCCCCTGTTTCTTGCTTTTACTAACGAACCTGCCATTTTTGTGTCTGGACTTTGATTTGTCTGAGGGAACAGTCAGGTTTACTAATCTAAATCATCTCCCTCCTTGCCTTCCCCAGACACTTTTCCTCCATTCCTTCCACTCTTGGCTTCCTCTTCACCCACTGCTGTCTCCTCCTTTCTCCCTCGACTTCCCCCACCTCTTCTGGGCTGACCCCCTTCCTCGGTGTACCTCCTATGTCACCCTGCCTCCTGCTACTCCCTTTTCCCACCCCTAGGCCATAAGAGGGTGATCAAGTGGTCCTCTCCCTAGAGAGGCCACCGAGTGGGAGTGGTCTGCACAAAGCCACCTGTGCAAGATGAGATTTATACCCAGCCGGAAGGGAATCGAGGAAAGTCTTCCTGGACTGATTTACCTTGCCCCAGTCAGATCCTTCTAACTCAGAAAGGGCCAGGGGAGAGTGACCTGGACCTGGGCACATGAGTGGGATGAAGAGAGCCCACAGTGAGGAGGTAGCCTGAGGGTGGTGCCCTGACCTCTGAGGCCAGGGAGGGAGGACCTGTCTTTGGGGCCAAAAGAGCCCTTTTCCTTCATGGGAGAATAGATGAGCTCAGACCATGGGGGATTTAAGTCTCTGTTAGGGTTTCAGGCTTTTAGGGAGTCAGGTTTACAGATGGGGATATAGGCTATGTGGCCCTGGGTCACAAGGTAATTTGATGTTGTCCTTAATGACCATGTGCTGTATCCCCTGGGCTGTGCTGGGAGTGGTAGAGCTATGGGGACATGTCAGGCCAGGTGTCCGCCCTTCAGGAGCTGGTGGCCTAGTTGGGGTGAGCATTTGAGCCCAGGAAATAATTAATATCCCGGTGGCTACTACTACTGGGCCTTGACAGTGGGAGAAGGAAAGGAGGTGAGAGCAGGATGCAGCCAGCTTGCCCTAGAGAGGCCCTTTCAGTTGTCACACCCTTCCTGCTGTGTCCTCATCCCTCCATCCTGGTCGTTTCTTCCTTGCTAGCTCTCCTCTGCCCAGTCTAAGCGAGTTTGCATGTTTTTGTGACTAATACTTTGACCCTTCCCTTTTCTATCCAGAACCACCTCTTTCCCAGCCTCAGGGCAAGGTGGAGGGAAGAAGAAGTAAATGATAATGACCAGCCTTCCACTAAGAATGAGACTCAAAAGCTTTCAGACTGCCCCCTCCCACAAAGACACCTGTCACCTTCTGTCCTTGAACCTGGCTCCCCCAGCACAAGGTTTGATGGTTCCCAGGAAGTGACCTGTCAGCCTTCGGTCTGCTCAGCCCCACCCCTCCACCACAAGGCTCTAGCATGTGGAGACTCCTGGGTCCTGGGGGGTGTGCTTCCCCTGCCCGGATACTTCCTTGACCCTTAGACGTCCTCTACCCCGGGAGATGACGGAGTCCTGGTCACCAGGTGCTGGAAGTTGGCTGGAAACATGTGCCTATGGACTGGTGTCAGTAGGGACATCATAGGAAGTCCCCAGAAGGCCTTGGTCTCCAGACCTTGCACCTTTGGGGAGCAGGAGGTCAGCTGACCAGTGGCCCATGGAAGCAAAGGGTCAGGCTAACAGAGAACAAGTTCCCTGGTGGCCCTTGTAGGGTACTGCCGCTGTCCCCACTGACTTTCACCTTCCTAGAGATGGGCTTGGGGTTCCACAGCCCTTGGCTTCTCCCCACTCACTGGGTGTCTGGAGCCCTGTGCACCGCTCGGGTGGCGAGACTCTTCAGGGAGCAGTGGGCCTTTGCCTGGGGGTGGGGCAGGCACCGTTTCCTGTACTTGGCCCTCACCTAAGGTCACTTCTGCCTTCCCCAGGCCAATGCTGACTGGCACTACTTCCTCCCTGCCATCTTGCTTTCTGACTTGAGTTTCTGCCCTGAGGCTCTACCCTGCTCTGCTGCCTCATGGTGGGGTAACAACCGTGTTGCTAAGGCAGATACTAGACACAAAGAAGGGGAGGAGGTATTGAAAAGTGAGTATGTAGCTGCCCTCTCCTTTGGGTGAAAGACAGTGATCCACATATTGGGTACCTGAGGGGTGAGGAGACGCCGTTGAGAAGTGGGAGCCCTTGGAGTCCTCATGGCCGTGGTGGGAATCAGCCTGGAAGAGTGGGGTGTAGCCCAGGTCCTAGGACTTCCCAGGCATATTGGGGCCTCTGCCCTCAGGGCTGCCTTCAGTTCCCCTCTTGAGCTAAGAAGGAAACAGCTCAGTGCCCTGAATTACAGGGCAGGGACTGCAGGTGAGTCCAGGCCTCCCGGATTCAGGGAGTGGCTGCTCAGTTTTCTGCCTCAGTTTGAAGAAGCTCTGGAAGCACCGCTGTCGTGGTATTACCGTCCAGGGGAGAAGAGCGAGGGTGCCGTCGGCCTTCCCTCACTCCCCTAGCAGGGCCCTGTTCTGGAATCCCCGTCCTGTCCAGAGCCCCTCCAGAAAGTGCTGCTTTGAAGAGCCCTTCAGGTTCCCTGCAGGCTCCGGTCTGCTGAGCTGGGGGCAGGAGCTAGGTTAGGCCTCAGCCTACCTCACTCCCTGGAAACCATCAAATCTTGTGCTGTCTCCTCTTCCTCCTTCCCTCTCTTCTCCCACTGTTCCTTCTCCAAGGCAAGCAGACATAAAAATGGGGGTCCCCCTCTCCCATTGCCCCCCGGCCCCTCCCTTACCCAGTCTGTGGCTCTTCCCAGGGAGTTGATGCCAGTTGTCTCCTGTCTCTCCCCCTTCCTGGGCTGGGCAGGTGACCATCTCGGTGGACGGGATCCTGACCACCACAGGCTACACGCAGGAGGATTACACCATGCTGGGCTCTGATGACTTCTTCTACATTGGGGGCAGCCCCAACACAGCGGACCTGCCGGGCTCGCCTGTCAGCAACAACTTCATGGGCTGCCTCAAGGATGTGAGTAGGGCTAGGAAGAGCTGGGCTTGCTCCAGGAACCCTTTGCCCCTGTCTATCCTGTCTGCGGCATGCTGTAGTCTGACCTGGCCAGTGGCTTCCCCCAGGGAGGATCTTTCTGAGTCCATGTTGGGACTACGAGGTGGGAAAAAACTCTTCAAAACTCCTCGAGTTCTACTGACTCAGGCAAGAGGGGTCTCCCCTCTCATTTCCGTGAGGCTTGGAAGCCCCCATACTCTGAGAGAGTCTTTGAAGGAAGTTGTGGCAGAAGCAAGAACTATTGGATGTGAAGGCTAAAAGCCTGTTTCAGGTTCATTTTGCCCACTCACTCCTCTGTGACCTTGACCACATCACTCGACTTGCCCGATGCTTAGTTGTCCCTTCTGTAGATGAGTGGTTCATAGCTGCTTGTTAAGGTTGTTGTGAGGAGTGGCAGAGGGTCAGTGAAAAGGCTTTGTCCGTTTGGAACTGGCAATCAGATGGCAATGGCGACTGCTGCCTTTCATTGTCATGAGCTGCAAAGTGGTGGCACTGAGAGCCCATAGCCCTGCTGGCCAGTGAGGAGGCCAGAGACAGGTGAGAGGAAGCAAGCTGGCCGTGGGAGGTGCTTGTGCACAGCCTCCATGTTCGGCATGCAGCAGGGGCTGCTGGGGTGGGTGGGGGCGGGTCCCAGGGCAGCTATGGCCAGGCCCTAATTTGCTCTTGCTGCTTTACCCCGGACCCTTTTCCTCCCTGCAGGTGGTCTACAAGAACAATGACTTCAAGTTGGAACTCTCCCGTCTGGCCAAGGAAGGGGACCCCAAAATGAAGCTGCAGGGGGATTTGTCATTCCGCTGTGAGGATGTGGCTGCCTTGGATCCAGTGACCTTTGAGAGTCCTGAGGCCTTTGTGGCACTGCCCCGCTGGAGTGCCAAGCGCACTGGCTCCATCTCCTTGGACTTCCGCACCACGGAGCCCAATGGGCTGCTGCTCTTCAGCCAGGGCCGGCGAGCTGGGGCCGCTCCAGGCAGCCATGGCTCTACCCAGCGGGCTGACTACTTCGCCATGGAGCTGTTGGATGGCTACCTCTACCTTCTGCTGGACATGGGCTCTGGGGGCATCAAGCTGCGGGCTTCCAGCCGCAAAGTCAATGACGGCGAGTGGTGCCATGTGGATTTCCAGAGGGATGGGCGCAAAGGTCAGGAGGCCTGCGGACCTTCCCCTCTCCTGGCTGCTCCTTTCCACCTGCCCTGGCCTCCTCTCCAGCGCCCTTTAGATTATCTCTGTTCTGCATCATCTCCTGCTCTGTCCCTTGTCCCTTCTGCCCTCCACCAGTCCTCCCTTTTCCCTTCCATCATGGCATGCCAGCAGCATTTGGTGCAGCCAGACCTGGGTTCATACCTCAGCTCTCTCACTTGTTGGATGTGGGCCTCAATTTCCTTATCTGCAAAAGGAATAATTACACAGGATCCATTAAGGGGAGAGTATAAACACACATGTGTGAAAGGGTTAGCACAGTGTTTGACACAGAGTACTTGTCACGTCTTTGTCTGAGGAAATAGCTTCCCAGTAGGCCTCCCTTCTGTCTAGAGTCATTAAACTTTCTTTCATTAACTCATTTAGCAATTATGGGTATCCCTCATTATCCCTCAGGATTGATTTCAGGGGATCCCTACCCCTAGTACCAAAATCCATGATGCTCAGGTCTCTTTTTGTTTGTTTGGTTTTTTTGAGACAGGGTCTCACTATGTAGTTGAGACTGACCTGGAACTTACTCTGTAGCCCAGGTTGGTCTCAAACTCACAGCGATCTTCCTGCCTCAGCCTCCCTAGTGCTGGGATTACAGGAATGCGCCACCATGCCCGGCTTCAGGTCTCTTATATAAAAAGGGTAGTATTAAGCATAACCTACTCAATCTTCCTTTTTAAGATCATCTCTAGAGTCCTTACAATATCTAATGCAATGTAAATGTTACGTAATTGTTGTTATAAGAAATGCTATGTAATTGTTGTTCAGCACAGATTCAGTTTTTCCCCAAATATTTACTATCTGTGTTTCCTTGGATCGGTGGGTAGAACCTGAGGATACGGACACTAACTGCATTTATTGAGCACTTAGTCTGTGCCAGGCGCTGTCCACAGTGCTGGAGAGCAGTGACCTGCCCATCGTGTTCTGGCTAGGAGAGACAGTAAAGAGCTCAACACTGTGCTCTAGAATAGAATAGCTCAACACTGAGGGCTCTGGAAAATAAAGCAGCAGGGCAGACAGTGCTGAATCTTCTGTCATGTCCAGCCGCCCTCCCCTCCGCCCTTCTCTGCAGTCTTCCCTTCCATCCTCTTGTTTTCTCTCCTCTTTACTCTTCTCCATTTTGGTGAACATGAGAGAATTAGCCAAGAAAGAGAACTGATATAAATTAGACCTGACAGATTATCCAATGTAAGCAAATTTCACCGTCAGCTACATTTTTGTGCTCCTCTGGCTGTCACCCCTCCAGGTCCGTGAGTCTGAGTAGAGTGGCCATGCCTGTGCACACGAGGAGGGGCCGGCTGGGGCTCCAAAAAACGTCAGCCTCTCCTGGGCTTGCCATTCCTTCCTCTTCCTTCCTCAGAGAAATCTATGTGCTGTAGTTTCATACCCTGGCTGGCTCTCGTGATAGCACCTGTGGGTCCTCACGCATGCTGCCTCCCAGGGGTTCCATGCAGGGCATCTCGTACTCCCTGGGGTGGAAGACAGTCCCGCCTTGCCGGGCACCTAGCCCTTCTGCTCCTCTGTGCGGCCAGGAAGTGGTCCTGTTAGCCTCACACTGCTCTCCACAGCCCAGACGCCGGGTCTGGTTGGGCTTTGAGTCCCAGTCTGTACCAGCCCTGGACATTACTGATGCCCTGTGTGTTCAGTGGCATTAAGTACATTTATACTGTTGTGTGGTCGTCATCACCGTCCATCTCCAGAACTTTTTCATCTTCCCAAGTTGAAACTCTGAACCTGTTAGGCAGCAAAGTCCTCACTCCCTTTCCCCACACCTAGCAACCACCATCTTAATTTGTCTCCATGAATCTTCCTCTTGAGGACTTCATATAAGTGAAATTATTAAACATTTGTCCTTTTATGTTTGGCTGTTTCTTCAGAGCTCATCCATGTTGTAGCATGAGTCAGAATTTCCTTCCTTTTTAAGGCTTAAGTAGCATTCCATTGTTTGTATACATGCATCTTGTTTATCCATTCTTCTCTCAGTGAATGGTTGAGTTGTTATCTTTACATGTTTTAGAGCCCTATGCTTACTTTAATTTCCTCTCCCTAACTTTCAGTTATACACCCCTTTTCCTGCCTCTTTTTTTCCAATATTCAGTTTATTTGCTAGGAGTCCAGTTGGATGGTGTGCAAGGCCCCACAGTAGGTGGGCAGGGCAGGTGTCAGGGTGAGCAGGTGGGCCGTGTTTGGGGGTCTGAAGCCCTGAGAAGTGGTTTAGCAGCAGGACCCTGGGCCAGGTGATGCCTTGTCAAGGAAGAACAAGCTTGGGTCATGCTATTAACAGGGGGCCCAGGGGAATGGCCCAGGGGAATGTCAGGTGAGGTTTTAAGCAGAGGAGAACATGTTTTGAATAAAGATCAGCATCTGCAGAGGAGGCCCTGATACTGCTCCTTCACTGTCCCCTACTTGCTCATACTCTGACCTCCTGTGACCCCTGCTACATTCAGGACTAATTTAGACCCAAAGCATCCTTTCCTTTCTTTAATTCTACTAGCATTGGCAGACTTAAAAAAAATTTTTTTTCCCCAAGCTGGGTGTGGTGACACATGCTTGTAATCTTGGCACTCTGGGAGGCTGAGGCAGGAGGATCATAGGTTTGAGCCCAGCATGGGTAACATAGTGAGTTAATGAGATCCTGTCTCAAAATGAAACATAAAAAGAGCTAGAGATGTAGTTCAATGTGAAGGCCCTGGGTTCATTCCCCAGTATCACAAACAAGCAAATGAACAAAGCAACCTTCAAAACCCCAAGCAGAATAAAGTTTCTACTGTATTGGTTTCTGCAGTTTAAGATCCCAGTAACGGCTTTGCAGCTCTCACTTGAAGCCCGGTCTCTTTTCTAAGAGAATTTTTATTCATCTTAGTTTGTTTTTTGTTACTGTAACAGAATACCTGAGAATGGGTAATTTATAAGAGTAAGAAATGTATTTGATTAAAGTTCTGGAAGTTGGAAAGTCCAAGGAGATGGCAGTAGCTTCTGGCCAGGGCCTTTGTACTGCATTACGACACAACAGGACAGCTGAAGGACAAGCGAGCCTTGCAGAAGAGACAAAACAGGATGGGTGGCCTCACTCTGTAATGACCAGCTCTCCAGAGAAGGAACAGACTCCTTCAGGAAAGCATTAATCAACACCCTAATCACCTCTCACAGGCCCCATGCCCCAACATGCCACGAGGGTGATCGAATTTCAGCCTGAGGTCCAGAGGGGACAAAACCACGTTTAAACCATGGCATCACTCTCTCCTAAAGACCTCTTCTAGCTCAGAAGCTCTGTGTCTGGCTTCTTTTCTCCTGGCCGCCTGTCTGTCTTTTCTGCTGGTCACAGAGCAGGTGCAGGCGGCGCTCAGGTGGAGGGGAGAAAACACAGGTGCTGAGACCTTGCTGCCTGGTCAGGCCATTGGCTCTTCCCCTTCCCCACTGTGCCACTTGGGCAGGTTCTGCAGTCTCTGTGAGCCTCATCTGCAATTCAAAATGGGATTGGAAAGGACCAGTTTCAAAGGGCTCTTGTGGGACTCCAGTGATACAGTATATTTAAAGGCTAGGTGCCCAGCATATCGTCAGAAGAGCTCTGTGCATTAGGGGTGTGTGTGTGTGTGTGTGTGTGTGTGTGTGTGTGTGTGTGTGTGTGAAATCATTGGATTTAGATCTTTTTAGCTTCCTCAAGGTTCTCCACCTCCAGTTCCTGGCTTGAGGAGCTGGCTGGTGGGAATGACCCAGGAAAACCCAGCCCTTTCTGGACTCAGATTTTGGGTATGTCTGCTTCCTGCCCCTCTGAGGCCTTGCTCAGGTGGGACAGAGGCCCGCGGTGTGGTGCAGCTAGGCTGGGTCATGTGAGCTCCTGAACCTGGGCACCTTTGCCAGGTAGTTTGGGCAGTAGGGCAAGTGAGGCTGGGCTTCCGAATCCAGGGCTGCTGCTTGTCCTGAGCCCACTGCGGGGTGTTGGGTGGTGGGGCCTGGGTGGGATTGGGAGCCTCCTTGCTGAGTCTGGACATCCCTTCTTGCCTATGGCTCCCTCCCTCCAGCCTTGCCCTCTGAGATCTGTTCTCCCTTGGTCCCCAGGCTCCATCTCAGTGAACAGCAGAAGCACACCATTCTTGGCCACCGGGGAGAGTGAGATCTTGGACCTGGAGAGTGAGCTGTACCTGGGCGGCCTCCCTGAGGGGGGCCGGGTGGACCTGCCTTTACCCCCGGAGGTGTGGACGGCGGCGCTTCGGGCTGGCTACGTGGGCTGTGTGCGAGACCTCTTCATAGATGGACGGAGCCGAGACCTTCGAGGTCTGGCCGAGGCACAGGGGGCTGTGGGTGTTGCTCCCTTCTGCTCCCGGGAGACACTGAAGCAGTGTGCATCCGCCCCTTGTCACAATGGAGGCATCTGTCGAGAGGGCTGGAACCGCTTTGTGTGTGACTGCATTGGGACTGGCTTTCTGGGGCGAGTTTGTGAGAGAGGTGAGGCTGGTCTTTATCCCAGGCATCTGCACTCCCCATTCCCGTGCCCTCCTTCTCTGTGTGACCCCTGCTTTCATCCCTAGCCCCCTTCTTCCTGTTCAGAGTGCCCCCCATAGGCTTGTCATCTTTTAACGATTCTCTGGTCTTCTCTTTCCCTCTACTGGGCTTTGCCCTGTCGAACCCCACTTGTCGGACAGAGGCCACGGTCCTGAGCTATGATGGCTCCATGTACATGAAGATCATGCTGCCTAACGCCATGCACACGGAGGCAGAGGATGTGTCCCTCCGCTTCATGTCCCAGCGGGCCTATGGACTCATGATGGCCACCACCTCCCGGGAGTCTGCCGACACTCTGCGCCTCGAGCTGGACGGGGGGCAGATGAAGCTCACTGTCAACCTCGGTAACCACCCCGCCCTGTGCCTACTGGCCTTCTCCCCGGCCTGCCTGTGACCTACACCCCCTCTGTCTGGAGAAGCTGGTGGTGGTGGTGCCAGGGAGAGGTGCCTTCAGCAGAGTTTGGAGGTGGGAGGTGACAGTCTGGGCCAAAGCCCTGAGAGCTTTGTCCTTGGCAGGGATGCACAGCCTAGAACAATGACGACAATGAAGGGTGGAGACTGAGTGGCCACGCCTCCCAGGGTGCTCGTGTGGAGTCTTGGCGGTGTCTGTCCTGCACGTGAACACTAGTGACTCAGCTCATTCTTGCTTGGTGCACATCCCCTCACCCATTCATTGGTTCATTCATTTGGGGAGCACTTGTCACCTACTGAGTATTAAGCCTGAGCTTAGTGTAGTGGCAGATACAGGAATGGCAACAGTTTCCTCCCGTGTGCAGCCACCCTCAGCTGCTCTGCTTAAAGAGTTGTCTCTGTGGTGGCAGGCTGGACACACAGGGACATGCCATCTCGTCCTTGTCTGCACTCGGTCCTTTCCTGGCTGAGTCCTGTAGCTGCCTTGTGGAGATACCTGATCACAAAGCAGGTGGTGCGATCCCTGTTTTGCAGATTATGAAACTCCCGACATCCCAAACCTAGTGAAGTGCAAGAGTATCTGTCTCAAACCCATGTTCTTGTCCTTAAAATGTAGTGCCTTTACCATTGCCTCCAACAGAGATGGCAGGACAGGTGTTGCCATCAGTCTTCTGTCTCTGTCCCCACCCATGGGGAAGAGAAGGCCTGGGCTCGGCTACCTGCTAGTCCCCAGGTGTCTCCATGGGCATCTTAGGTTCTTTGTGAGCTTCAAATTTCATAGTCAAAGAGAGAGCAGTGGGCGCACTCAGGCAGCTTATATTTATGGGTATCTGATAAGCTCCAGCGCTACCACAATGCATATATGAGGCACTCACTCTTAAGGAGCCTTCAGTGCAAGAGACCCAGCTCTTCAGGCTGAGGTCACACCTGTCCATTGTGGACTGGCCTCTTGAAGCACATGGAAGCAGAGCACCCAAGGACTTACCAAGTAGAAGTCCTCAGGCCACCAGTGTCACCTGGTGTCCCTGAGCCTAGTGGAGAAGTAGGACTCTTCTGAGCCAATGAGAATCCTCAACCGGAGATAACACAGAGTGTTGAGCTTTTATTTGTCTGGACTCTCATCCTAACCTTGGTTTCCAGGGCACTTCTGGGATAGCCTTTTGGCTCATTACCCCATTCATTTTGTTTTTCTCCTGGTCTCCTGGCCAAGAGAGGCAGGGCCTGGACATGAGGAGCTGTTCAGGCTTCCAGGCCCTCAAGTTGGCTTGAGGGGTCCTTCAAGGCCTGCTCTGACCATGATCATAGCTCACACAGGGTGGGTGCTATCTGTGTAGGGCAAAGCAGGCTGGGAAACATCCTTTGGCTAACACTCCTCAGGGCTGTACAATACCCCAGTGCACCCCTGAATTGTCCCAGGAGGAAGCCACAGCCAGGACCTGGTGTGTGGCTCCAACTTTCCGATTGCCCAGGACTGGGTACACACATGTGCATTCTCCGTGTGGCTGTGCACATGGCTGTGTGTGTGGCACAGTAGGGACAATCTAGGGCCTATGATCCACAGACAAAGCAGATAACTTCTTGCTTACTTGGACTGTCCTTGGTCCCCTGGGAAGAACCTTGGACATCTTCAGATTAGACAGAAAGCAGCATCCTTGGCCAGGAAACCTCATCTTGGTGTGGACTCTTGGGATCCATCTTCTCTTTACCATGGGTATGTTTTTCTGTCTCTGCAACATAAATTTTCAGAAATCAGAGAACAAGGTGGCCCTCTTGGAAGACCCATAGTGTTAAGAATAATCTCCTAGGCCGATAGCCAGCAGAACTGTCCTCCTGTCCCTCTGTCACCCGAACAGTGCCCCTTGCCCCTGTCCACAGAGATGTATGTGCTGGGATGCTTCTCTAGCATAATTCATGCTTGTCAAAGTGACCAAACATTGGCACAGACGCATCTGTCTACAGATACCACCCAATCTGAAGGCACAGAGGTATGTGGCCACTATGTAGGCAACGGTGGCACACATGGTCCCCATCTACCCAGCCTGGGCCTGGGATGTGAAGAGCTCTAGGCTGGGGGCCAGAAGACCTGGCAGCCAGTTGTTATCTTTCACTACTGGGTAAGTCCTTTCCCCTCTCTGAGCCTCTTTTCTTCTCTGTAAAATGGGGAGAAGAATCCTCACCCCACTTGCTTTCTAGGGTGGTTTGGAGGCTCAAAGGGAATAATGGGATTGAAGACATTGTACCGATACAAAGCACACACGTAGGAACCCACCCAGCCTTCTCCAAGGAAAACCATATTAGATAGGGGGCTGAGCTTGGAGACAGGCCTGGGCACTTACTTCCGCATAGCATCACTCAGTCTGGCCTCACCCTAGGAACCCCGTTCTGATCCCCATCCTGCCTGCTATCCAGGGCCTTCAGGGCCTCAGAGATAAGCAACAACACCGAGCCCCTACTCCTGGGCTGGACTCACTGCTGGGGAACCTGAGGAGATTTGGTCTCTGACCTTGTGTTCTCCTTTCGTAGGGAGAAAGGGGGACCAGAGGGACAGGAGACAACCTCAGCAGACACTCACGAGAGGAAAGACACTTGGCGCTGGGCCTGAAGGGGAACTGAGGCTACTAGTGATTAGATGGTAGGATGGCTGAGAGTAGCCCCCAGTGCTGGCCTCTAGAGATACGGAACTTGCTGGACAAGACAGGGCCAAAAGGTTCTGCTACAGCTGGGCCTGGTGGTGCAGTCCTGAAACCCTAGCACTCTGGCAGAGTGACTGCAAGTTTGAGCCCAGCCTGGGCAACTTGGTGACTTAGTGACTGTTTCAAAAATAAAATTTAAAAAATGGCCTGGGGATGTAGCTCAGTGCAGAGACCCTGGATTCAAATCTCCAGTACTGGGAAAACAAGGCAAACACCTCTTCCGGGCACTGAATTGTGTTCCACGTTTCAGCCCTCAGCCCCAACCACTTTGCAGACACTGAGCTGGTTCCCCGAACTGTCTGCAGCCCCTAAGTGGGGCAGGTGGTATCTGCCCCTAGAGGATGGCAGTGTTCCTTGGGTTTTCTGACCTGTTGCAGTGTGGTCTGGGTCCCTGCCTTCTGCCCTGGTTCTGGCCACAGGGGCCAGTGCCAGCCTGTCTTGTCCTCTCTTCCACCTTCCTGGAGTTGTTCTCTATCAGATATGCCCATGGCATCCCAGCTGTCCCAGTGTGGCTGACATGAGGACATAATCTGAGCTGTTCTTTGTTGGCCCTCCACGTGCGTGTTCTTCTTTCAAAAATTTAAAAAAAATTTAATAGTACATGTATGCAGTACATTCATTACGGGGAGTTTGCACCTGCACATAACACATCTTAATTCTTTTTTTTTTTTTTTAAGTTTTTTCGATACAGGGTCTGTGTAGTTGAGACTGATTTGGAACTCACTATGTAGCTCAGGCTAGTCTTGAAATCACAGCGATCCTCCTGCCTCAGCCTTCCGAGTGCTGGGATTGCAGGCGTGAGTGCCACCGTGCCTGGCCATCTAAATTCTTTTTATGTTCCTTTCCTCTCCCTCCTCCCCTCCCTGCTCCTCTGTTTTGATGTATCAGTGACAGGAGGTCTCTAGCTTGGAGGTGCCATTCTGGTCACTGGCTGTGCTTCCTTAGGGTCACCCTTCTCTCCTGAAATTCCCTCTTGTTCTAAGTTTCCACTGGTTCTGCCCTCTTGAGTCACAGAGCAAGTCTAACTGTGGTTTGCATCTTAAGTCAGGCTAAATACACATCCCATCCCAGCACTCTTCTCTGGAGCCGTGCAAGGCCAGTGCCTTCCCACCAGGAGCTGGTCGGTAGCTGTTGAGCCCCTTCCACTGGCCGCTGCCAGGGGGCTGGCTCTGCACAGGGGCTGCCCCAGTAGTGCATGCTGCCACACATGACGTTATGCCCGAGAGGTGTCCTCCCGAGGCTCCTTGCATGGAGCCATGGTCCCATGGTCTCCAAGCCTTGAGGCCCCAGGTGGAATGGCTGCCATGTCCTTTCCTTGCATTCCTTCCCATGTGCATTGCTTTCTCTCTGTCTCCTCACACGTTCATACGGCCACCCTGGTCTCTCCAGCCAGGCCCCGGGTGAGTCATGCAGACCAGACATGTCCATCCGTTCCCTGCTCCCAGGGCATAAGCACTGGTTAGGGGGTTACTAGTCACTGTGCCCTGAACTGAGCTTGGGTGAGTGTGTGCATGGAAGGGGCCGCCTGCTCCAGCTCACTCCCTGTCCCTGCCTTCCCTCACTCCCCTGGGTGTTCATCATCACATGAACTGGAGAGAGCAGGCTACAGAAGGTGGGGTTACTGCAGGGTGGATGGAGCCGTCACCTCTTCTCTGGATAGACGGAGTCCCCAATCCTGGCGTTCCCCTGCTGGCTAGGGGTAAGAGTCAAGCTCCTCTCTCAGACCTGTCCTTCCGGTCCCCTTTTTTCTTTTTTGGACCCTTCATTGGTGAAGAGTCTGCTGGTCCTGAGAGAGCCCCCGGGACCTGACTCCAGTGCCTGGCACCCTTCCGCCCTCACCCCGGTGCTCCATCCCTTCCACCTCACCCAGCCTTTTCTTCCCTCTTGGTTCTTCCTCTTTTCTATGTGAACCCTTTTTATCTCTTCTGCTCACTGTGACTTTTCACTTCCCTGTGTCTGCCCTCTGACCTTTCTCTGCCTCTCTGTTGGTGCCAGGCTGTGGCTTAGGGTCCCGGCTGCTCCCCCCACTCTTCTGCTGCGGTTGACAACGCGTGTGGAACTCAGCTGTACTGCCTGAGGACCCATGGCCTCCAGAGCTACAGGGCGACTGTTTACCTCCACTGCAGGAACCTTCAGGGGCCCAGGGGGTGCCAGGTGCATCCTGGGTCATGGGGTCTGTGGGTGGAGCCCGTGTTTGGAGGAGCAACAGGAGGCCAGAATATTGCTGCTAACTGAAGTTTGGAGATCAGCCCCTCCCTGACAGGCAAAGGCCAGCCCAGGGCACACCTGTCACGTGCTCCTTGTTCAGTATCCTCTCTAACCCCGCAGCTCACAGGGGAGGAAGCTAAGGTTCACGGAAGAGCCTTGGCACTAAGTCACACAGTGAGTTAGTATTAGGACAGACAGGACCCAGCTTTCCTGCCTCATGGTGCATGCAGTGCCAGCAGCTGGCTCCCTTGGGTTGGGCTTGAGAAGCAGTACAGGCATCCCAGGGCTTGTAAACCCCTATGCCTCAGAATCTAGTGCCCAGTTCCCTCTGTAAGGCTGGCTCCTTTCCCACTGTGTGGGTGATGGAGCCCTGGGCTGCAGACTGTGCAGACATGGCCTGTCTGAGCACAACAGACACCCCCAGCCTCGAAATCTGGGAATAGCAGTGCCAGGACTGGGCAGGGGTGGAAGTCTATACTACAGTCCCTGCTTGTGTCCTAGATGAAGTCCTATTTTCTGGGGCTCAGTGTCCCCATATATGTAGGCTTAACTCCTCTCTAAGAAAAAGATGAAATGTTCTCTAAAGGTGAAGCCCCCCATTTGTGGGGGCAGCCTGGTATCCCCCAGGATAGGGAAGGGTAGGAGAAAGGTTCCTGTAAGGGTGGTGTCAGCCCCTGGGGCTTTGGAGGGTGTATGGCCTCAGGAAGGGGCTCTGGGGCAGACCTCTCCATTGGGCTCAGAGCACAAGGAGTGACGTGTCACACCCAGGCTCTGAGCAGGGAGTCCTCCAGAGAGGGGATGCGGGGACCCTGGCCCTCCCCACCCATCTCCTTCCTAGAGACTGGGGAGATGTGGGGTTGGTCAGGTCCTCAGCCCCTGGTGACCCCTGTACGACTGGGATTCCCAAGGTGCCCATCTCCCTCAGACACAAGAGGCTTGTGCCCCTCTGGGAAGGGGGACACAAACACTCCTCCCATCACCTTACCTCCTGGCTCAGGGGAGGATTGGAGCCTTCTTGGGGGGTAGGAGGGACAGGGATCCAATTACGGAGGGGGTGAGGGCACCTGGGCACGCGTGGTCCCCGGAAAGTGGCCCTGGGGGGAACCCCTGCCCGCAGATACCCCTCCCTGTGAAGGATGTAAAAAAAAAAAAAAAAAATTGATAT